TTTCTACGTGTAAGCCACATAGTTAGCTTGATCTTCAAGCTAACAATATGTATGGCACATGGCCAACTTGTTGACCATGTTTCTAATCCAAAAAGTCAATTAAAGACATGTATGAAGTCAAAGCAGCATCTAGAAAGCTTCTAAAAAGCTTCCATATTAAATATTATAGAATTAACTTACTTTTACCTACTTTTACTTACTTCCAGCTATTTATATATGTAATTATTAGCTTACATGATTATGGCCGTGACATTGAATTGCTAAAAGGAAGAGATCAATAAAGTGAAGGAGGAGATTATAGTTTCCTTGTGTATTCAGATATTGAAAATAGAGACGATACATTCAGGAGGTAATTGATTGTGTGACCCTAACGTGAACGCTTAAGTAACTAGTCATTCCCCATGTTCGAATCTCCCTATATGGATTTATTCTGGGAGATTTCTTCCGAAATAAGTAAAACAAGCAATCACAGAAGTGGACAATAATGAAGAGTTTGAAATAGAAGAAGTCTTAGATTCAAGGCGGCGCCGAAATAAATCAGAATATCTTATCCATTACCACAGATATGATATTAATGAATGCACATGGGAGCCAATAAAGAATCTTGTAAATGTAACAAAGGCAATGGAGGCTTTTCATCGAAGACATCCATCAAAATCAAGATAAAAATCTTCCTTATAAAAAAAACAAGATCTAGGCAAGATAACATTCTACTTTCAATCCTTGTTTGTAGCTTCTTTGTAGTTGTGGCACTCAAGAAATGGAGAACTAATAACCGGCGAATTTGACTCAAGAGCCTTTGTTTGTTGATTTGTCAGATGAGACATTACGATTGTCACAACCTTCAAGACGACGCAATCGAGATGAAGATCTTTAAAAACGACATGTTCTAACTTAAATAGATGGCAAGATACAACACGTTTGGTATTACGACCTTGGAAGGGACTCCTGATATTTGGTAATTTTACTATAGGTAAAAACAACTTTTGATGGTATTCCAAATATTTTATTCGAAAGAAGTTATGAAAGCCTCAACAATGATCAAATAATTGGGTGGTCTTTCCGCCCTAGTATGGGACACTATCGATGGTTGAAAGGTCCTATCAATCATCTTCGAAAAGAATAAAGATCAGAGTATGTGGCAAATACAATTCATTACATCATAGATTTTCTCAACATATGATTATCGCTCCTCATGGAACTCGTCTTTAGAAGGAGGGGTAATATCACGGACATATGCATGTAAGCCAATAATTACATGTATAAATAGGTAGAAGTAAGTAAAAGTAAGTAAAAGTAAGTTAATTTTGTAGTATTTGATATGGAAGCTTTTTAGAAGCTTTATAGATGTTGCTTTGACTTTATAGGTATCTTTAATTGACTTTTTGGGATTATAAACGTGATCAACAAATTGGCCATGTGCCACACATGTTGTTAGCTTGAAGATCAAGCTAACTTTGTGGCCCACATGTAGAAATACTTGCCTTGTAAGTCAAGGCATGTGTCCTATAAAGTCAACACATATTGGAGGTTCTATAGAACGTCGCCATGTAGCCCCTAGTTAGATAGTATATATAGAGACAAGAATGAAGCCTTCTTCACTTTTTTCAACTCCTTTCTTGCTTCCAGTCTAGTTTCAAGGGTCTCTAGTTTTTTTGGCTTTTTGGCAATAGCCATTCTAGTTTCTTTCTCAATATATATATTAAGTTATTTCTATTTTGTCATCTTTCTTTTAGAGAAGTCTCACTTGTTTATTTGTCTTTATTATATTTTTGTCCTTGATAAATACCAAGACTATTTGGCCTTATATTTAGTTGAATTATAATAGACTTAGACCATTTTTTAATTATAAATAAATCAATCCAATTGCTTATTGATTGTAATTACCTTAGTCTATGAAGATCTATCTTGTATTTTATGTATCTCTTCTTAAGCTATATAAAATAATTGATATACTAGAAAGACAAAAAATGCCACATCTTCTTATACAAGTGGATAATAGTCAAGAATATGATGTCAAAGAAGTTTTGGACTCAAGATAATGCCAAAATAAATTAGATTACCTTATTTTTTGGCACCAATATGATATTAGTGAATACATATGGAAGCCAATCAAAAATCTTGCAAATATAGCAAAGAAAGTTGATGCTTTTTATTGACCATATCCATCAAAATTAGTATGAAGAATAAAAAAACTTTTCTATAAAAGAAATGTGGTTTAGAAAATATTGCATTCTACCTTCTATCTTTATTTGTAATTTTTATGTATTTATAGTACTAAAAAGATAGAGAATCAACAACCAATAGATTCAAATCAAAAACTACCATTTTTTGAGTTATTAAACAAGACATTACAATTGTTACAATATTTAAGATGATATAATAGAAATGAAGATCATTAAAAATAACATGTTCTTCTTTGAATAAATGGCAAGAAATAATGTGTTTGATACAATGACCTTGGAAGAGATTCCAAATATTTGGTGATTTTATTAGTGGTAGAAACAACTTTTGATGGTATTATAAATTTTTTGTTTGAAAGAAGTTACAAAGGCTTGAACAATAATCAAATATTAGAGTGGTCTTTTCATCTTGAAATGTGGCAAATAGAATTCATCACATTTTATATTTTATCAATATGTTATTACCATCGTTTGTTGAACTTGTATTTAAAAAAATAGAATAATATCACGTACATACATATTTATTTTAATAATTTTTTAGATAATATAATTAAATAAAAATAAATAAAAATAAATTAATTTAATAATATCTTGTAGAAAATCTTCCTAGAAGCTTTATAGATGCAATTTTATTGTTATACATATTCATATGTGATTGATAGGTTTAACACTTTGCTAATAAATTAGCTATATATCACATGTGTTAGTAGGTTATATTACAAGTTAATAATGTGGTATATATACAAAAAGCTTACCTTATAAATTAAAACATGAGTTTTACAAATTAGACACATGTTGGAGGTCCTATAGAACATTGTTATGTAGCATCTAGTTAGATAGTATATATAGAGGCAAGAGTAAAATCTTCTTCACTCTTGTCAATGCCTTTTTAGTCTTTAGTCTTGTTTCAAGACTTTCTAGTCATTTTATCTTTAGTAATAGCCATTCTAGTTTAATATTATATCATCTTTGAATAATTATCTAATCTTCTTGAGTGATATAAGAATATATTGATTTTTTACTTATTTGAGATTTGCATCTATGATAAACTTCGACATCCATTGCCAATAGCAAAATTTAAGTGGAATACAATGAGATTTTAATGTACATAAAGAAAGTACAAAAAATTCAATAATATATTATATAAAAAAGAGACTAAATCTAATCTTTGCAAAAATATAATAGTATATTTACTTTGAACAAAGATTGATATTGGCTTAGTTGCAACATTATATATATATATATATATATTAGCTATCTTAAATTATTATAAAACTTTAAAAAATAAATTAAAAAATATCTACTATCCAAGTCTTTTTTTTTCAAGACATAAAATAATCTATAAAGGATTAAATGCATACTTGGTTCTAAAAATTACAAAGTAATTATATCAAAATCTAAAGTATCTTAATGTGGTCTAATCATATTACTCCACTTTTTTTTAGTAAATTCTACATTAATATAAGACAATATATTTTTTTAAATCTATAATTTTTTTATAAATAAAATTAAATCAACCAAACCAAGACAAAGAACACTTCTTCTAATTAAGACTTTTGAATTAAATTTTAGAGTCACATTATACTTTTAAATATAAAGAAGAATAAATACTGTAAATTTAAAGTTAAATAAGCTTAGATCTACTCTTATTATTTTTTCTAATATTTTTTATAAAAAATAAATTAAAATATATATATATACATTAGAAAAAAGAAAAGAAAAGAACAACATAAACAAACTAAAACTAAAATTTTATAAAAATAAAATCATTTTTATATTTACAAAAGTTTTTTATAGTAAAACTTTTTGAAGACTAAGGTCTATATTATTATCGAAATTTATTCTAAACATCAATTTTTGTTACAATCTTAGCATTATTAATAATTTCAAGATGAGTAATTTTTATAAACCTTTGATAAAATGAATTTCTTTCTTTATTTGTGTAAAAATATAAAAATAAAGATTTTTTTTATATGCTAATACATCATTTAATAAATTTTGAAACAAAATAAGTAAATAAAATATTAAATAGAGAATAAACTCATAATATCTTTATTAGAATTTTAAAAATTAATATATATGAATTTTTATAAATGATTATATTCAAAGCTAGAGTTAACAGTACTTGAAATATAAAACCACTATTAAAATGAGTCATGTATACTTTTATGTAGCCTCAATTCAGAACCAAGCAAATTTTATATTAAACATTAAGATTAGAGTGTTTATTCTATTTTAATTCAAATTCAACTTAGTCAACTCAAGATTCTTTTTGAAAATTTTACCTCCAAAAATTTTCAGCAAAAATGTGAGTTTGTATTAAAAAAAACAAGAGATAATTTTATTACAACAATTCACACTTGCAAATAGGAGCTTCTAAAAAGAGAATCAGTAGAGTTAACAGGAAGATAAATTCGGCTCTAAATATGGCAATGTAACTTCAATTACAACAACCTAATAACATAGATATGCAGTGCCATTGTAAATCTTGCACATAGTTAACTCTTGTATTTGAAGATGAATTTTGAGCAAATGAATGTCAGCTTGATTCACCATAAACTACACTATCATCCATCCACCCATTCCCTCTATTGTCGTCAAACCATCACACCACGGAAATGTGCGCTGCAAGTTCAGCGAGCTATCCCAGTGTCAAGCGCTCGTAATCCCGTTCTACGCTATTCCCACGAGGCCCCAATTCCGCGACGCCCTAGTTCCGCGTGCTACAATTTGTTTAAATTTACTCGGTTGGCTCACAAGCCAGTCAAAGGGGCTTCCTGCCTAAGTTTCCGAGAGTCACAATTATTCAACAAAATCGGCGCCGAATCCGACATCTACCAGTGGGTACATGTGGATAGAATTTGTGCAATGTGGTTTGAAGCGAGAAAAAAGTCTTGGAGAATTCGACGTTATGGCTAATTTCAGCCACTATTTCGTATCCCTGGAGTCGCTAATTTTATAATTTTGTTTCTGATTCCTCTTTCTCCCGGTGAAACAGTTTTAATTCTTACCGAATATTTAGATCTTATTTGCGATAATTCTTCCACCTGGTCACTTCCAGGTCATTCTAGCTTACACTGTAACTTGGAGTTGTGGTAGGTATTGAGTATTCCGCAAGGTCGTATGAAGGTTTTTTCTACAAGCAATGCTTGGAGAATGCAACTCAAGAATGGCGAATGTTGAGAACTTGAAGCTTTTTAGGTCATTGGCTTGCAGCTTGCGAGGGTTTTGTTTTCCTTTGTTTTTTTCTTTCAGGAGTCAGTGAGTTGGGTGTTGCGACGTGGATTCAGACAATGGAACTGGATTAGGAACAAGAGATTAGTGTCTTTCTGTGCAGTGAAGGTGTAGGATTCAAGTCAAATACTTTTCAGGGATGGTATGGGAGAGAGTCGTGTCAGAGGAAGAGCAGTTCCTTCTTTGAGTCACTGAGAACCAGCTTAAGTACTGTTCCGGCGACCTAGAAGTATCGAAGTGTACATATCGAGAGTAAGAGAGGATTTTACGGGAGTTTTTATTGCAATTATGTCTGGAAGATCTGGGGCAGGAGGCTAATGAGATCATTTTCAACGTGGGTTTTAGATCAATAGGGGTTGGGAAGTATATTTGGGAGAGTGCTGAGTATGTGGTCGTGGTTTTAGAGGCGAGAATTTGTTAAGATCGGAGACTAAAATGATGCTGCCTCTTGCAAAGCTGGGGACACTTGTGTTGAGAACCCTCAGCAAACCTTTGGCTAGTAGATTGAAGCAGCAAGCGGCGCATCACCCTCGGTTTCGGGAGATTATTATCAATTTCGCTCAGGTGAGAGTATGATTCTCTGCATTGAAGAGGTTGGAGAGGTTGACGAGATTATCGTCCTTCTGGGCGAGTGTATACCGCATTTTCCCACTACGATAGAAACCATGGTTATGTCGATACCATTAGGTCTAGTGATATTTTGACCTCCCGGCCAGACAACTGTGCGGGTCGTATACATCTCTTGCCAGTCTTAGCACGAGAGCGAGAGTCAATTGGGCTGCAATTTTTGTACTATTTGAAACAGCTGAGCAATTTACGCCAAACAGATCATTTAGGGCATGAGTGGTTGGGTTGCATACATCGGTAGAGAGCTCTGCGGGAGGTGCGCTGCTACTCAAGGTGTTGAAGACCGAGTTTGCCATACATCACATTGCACGAATAGTGCACTGGTGCTTTTGTCGCTGAAATTTGGCTTCAGTGGTGGTTCATTTGCCGTTGTGACACTGAGTTGTCGCTTTTCTCCGGAAAAATAGCCGGAAAGAGTGCACATGTTAATTTGATTCTGTGTGCCGATTGAACTATATCTGAGCCCAATATTCGAGATTAAATTGTTGAGGTGATTGTGAATTGCAGTCTAATCATAGATTTCAAGTGAACGTGCAAAGACGGATCTATGGCCATGCTACAAACGTGGAAATCCGGCCACTGAATGAGGAGAAGGCTGTTCAAGCTGCTTCAGACTTCCTTGGCGAAGCTTTCATCTTCAGTGTACGTGTCTAGACCCGGACTCTGTTGCATTTACTGCATCTACGGATTGTAGATTTCATTCTTTAATCGTTTGGGTGCTTCTTGGAAAGATCGTGGAAAGGGGCTTGACTAACTGTTACCACGAATTGCATCTAGACACTACAGGTCAATATGAACCTGGATCATAATTGTAATTTACAAAGCTCAGTCTTCTATCAACGTCACTGAAATAACTATCTATGGCACATACTGATATGTCTACCTTGTTCTATTACTGTCATTTGTCGCGGCAGGTTGGAGGAGGTGTGGTTATATATGAAGTTCAGCGAAGTGCTCGTTCTGAAGCTCGAAAAGAAGAAGCTCGCAAACAAGAGTTGGAGGTATTAGCACTGAAGAAGGCCTCATTTTTTAACAGTAGCTACCCTTGCTCACTGATGTGCATTATGTCTAGTCTTATCTTTGCCTGGCAACTAAAACTTTCAGCTTTCGTTTAATTCATCTGATGCATAGGAAAAATTGGCCAACACAGTTAATGAGCTCATTTGGATTTAGGGGGCATCTCTAATGGTCTCTTATGTTGGTGCTTGGACTCTACACATCACATGACGTGATGTGTATTTCTGAATGCTGAGTTCCCAGTTGGGTACTTCTTCCTTACTCTTTCGTCATTGATCTCCGATCCGGGCTGTAACAGGACTTGAAGAAGCGAGATGAGGTCGTTGCTGTCGAGCTTGACATGTTACGGGATCGAGTGGAGGAGCTAGAGCGGATGTTGAAAGGAAGAGGTATCACAAGCTGGATACCCGGCATAAACAAGTCAGAGGAGAAGGGCCATGTACGCACAACGTTTCCTCAAAACCCCTCCGAAATGGATCAAACAGCAAAACAGTAGTGTCAACCTCGGTTTCAGCTTCCGTTTATTTCATCTTGATTGGTGGCAAAGGACCAAAAGAACGCTTATGTCCCATCAATGGCGTTTCAACGAGGATGCAACATTCGGAGATACTATTATCTCATAGTAGCGTATGTTAGACAGAAGAGACACCAAATATTTGGATACTGCTTAGCAGGCAGTGTTTTCAGTCAGTCGTCGGTTTAGTTTCCGAATTTATCCTGGTATGGTAACTTTGTAGGGTGATTGTTCTTTTGGATTCGAGATTTATGAATATCCTTATTGAATTTCATGATCCTTTTTCTAAAACTTTTCTTTCGATTAACCATTCCCACTGCAGTATAGATTTTATTGCAGTAGGAAACGTTCTAAAACCAAAATTGCATAAACTTCAATCTCAGTGCGTTTGTTTGACAATTCAATCTTAGCGTCATAAGTCGATTAGAACCAGAATGGAATGGGTCATGCAAACTTGATGTTTTTGATAAGAGCTTGTGTCGACAGCTATGACAAATTGAATACACTCATATCCAACTTCTTACCAATTGCTTCTCATTTCTAACTTCTGTAAGACCTTTGAGGATGTGACTACTTCATGCGGATGTAATACGATGTAACCCATCCAGTCCCATGAGTAGGAATGTCTATTGTATTTCTAATAATAGTGTGCAACTTCGGAAAGTTGTAATATCCATCTTACATTGCAATCATGTACCATTCAATTGAATTTTAAAGACTCTACTTGGTGTAAAATAAAAACCAAACAAAGTATTGTGATAAATTTATGTAATTTATATGATATTCTAGATTTTACTTTGGTTGTTCATATAAATGTGTGTTTATATATATATATATATATATATATATGATTTGTTTTTCTTCTTTTTATGAAATAATAAAAATGAACTTGAAAGAATATAAATTTTATTTCCACATATTTTATTACATTAAAATATTACAAATATTAGTATGCAAATGCCAAAAACAAATAGATCAATAAATAGAAAAAAATCTTAACATTACAATTTTAGTAAGAATATTTACAAGGCTACAAAGAAAGTAAATTGCAAATTGTTTTAAAAATTGAATTAACAAATTTGAGATATTTTTTTCTTAATATATTTTCTAATTTATAGCAATAAGATCCAATAGAAGATTCTAAAAGAAGTAAGATGTATATATATATATATATATATATATATATATTTAAGATATTCAAAATCCACCATCCATTTGATATTTTTTAATTATTAATTATTAATATCCAATCAAATCTTTATTCAATCAAATGGTTTGAAAGGTATTGAACAAAAGTGTCATATGGTAGATAGGGAGTTAATGTGGTAGTAGCAAAAACTATGGTGGCATTTGCAATACCCTATATTTAAAGAAGATGTTATTTTTGTGGATTATGTCACATACTTGAATCTAGAAAAAAATTCAAAAATACAACATAATTATATTCTATTGAAATAAAAAAAATGAAAAAACAACAAGAGATATAGATATAAGATTAAAAAAATAGAAATGAGAAAAATAGAAAAAAAAATTAAAGTGTCTATTGTCAAATATAAAATAATTAAATAGTTTAAATGTTCTAGTCTATTTTTTATAATCTTCATAATGTTAGGACAACAAAACATCCAAGCTTAATGCAACCATATATATATATATATATATATATATATATATATTTTAAATTCACTTTGTTGGAAAAATATTTTTATTAATACAGCCTTCTACTTTATTTAAACTTAGTAGAAGTTAAAAAAAAAATTATTAAATATGTTTCCTTATAAAAAATAGTTAATATTAAATAAAAACAAAGAAAAAGTAAGTTATTGTAACAAAAACAAATATTCACGTGCTATCATCAAGTTAAATTCCAATACCAAAAAGATATAATTTTTTTAAAAACAAAAAATCAAATATGAGTTTTTTTTAAAATATATATATAATTATATATATATTAAAAAATATATATAATTATATATTTTAAGATCATATCTTTTTGTATTCAATATTTTAGATATATACCTAATTTAGGCATGTAAAAAAAAAGAAATACCAGTGAAGAAAGGAAAGAAATTGACGTAGGGTTTATTTCCATTGAACTTTAATTTGTTGATTTTATATATATATATATATATATATATGTGTGTGTGTATGTATGTATGTATGTATATTCTATGCAGTCTAACACCAAAGTAGAATTTTATTTAAAAACTTTTTATGTTTTTGTGTTATATGTGTGTGATGAAAACCTCCATCTAAAAAAATTGAATAAAAAAAAAATACAGAATCACTTCAGAAATTCAATATCACTTAATATAAATTATTCATAAAAAAAAATAGTTTATATTATTTTTCATTTCAAAAAAAATTTCAACTACATAAAATTTAATTTCAAAAATTATATATATATATACTTACACTTGATCACGTTCTATTAGAAATACTTTCAGTACTGCTCATTATACAAAATTCATTTATTACATCTGTAGAAATGAAGCATAAATTTCGTATATATAATTCTGTTAGTTTTTTTTAAAATAATATATTATTTTTTAAATATATATTATATTATAAACATCTAGAATCATGAATGCTTCCGATGCATCACAGGGAAGAGTGGATCTTTGATGACCAAAGGAACCCATATATGCCCCAAATATCATATTATATAATATTATTCAAAGTCTGGGAAAGTGTGATGGAATGGTAGGTAAGTTGTGCATACATGGCAGAAACGGATGAATGAATGATAGCGTTCCGAGAGGGGGTTGAGGAGGTTCCGTTCATCCAGGAGCGAGAGAAAGTGGGAAAACCCCGTTCACACCGGAGCGGTGTGGCGCAGGGGGAGCAAAGTGAGTCACAGCGTCGTCGTCGTCGTGGTCTCGTGCGTTGGGCTGGCCCCGAAGGAGGCACTGTGATGGCAATCACGGGGAGATCAATCCCGATTAGGACTTAATCCCATGTGTCTGTTCATCTTCATCTTCTTCTCCTCTCAATTTCTGCCTCTCATGCAACAATTCGCCGGCGACGCGCAATTCTCAGCTGTTGAGAGAGCCCCCAGCACTGGGTTCACGTCTCATTCAGGTTCATGTAATGGCCGGAAGAAGCCCGCCTCGCCACAGGCACGATGGATCGTCGCCTCTGCCTCTCGGGATCGACGCCAGCCCTGCTCCTGCTCGATGGGTTTGTCTTCGAAAACCCCTTGCTCGGATCTGAATGTCGCTTTTAGGGATGCAAAACCTATGGTCATTCACTGCCATAAGTCGGCAGGGAACCTTAGCTGCCCATCTTGCCTGTTACCTTAGATGCTTTCACATGACTATATAGCAGATATGGCTCCAGACATGGAAGATTTGCATCTGCGGATTGCTATTAATCTGAGGTTCCTTGGATTGGATTGGTACAGGATGGACCGCAGACTGTATGGCCGCACGATCCTCGCACAGGATGGAGTTATTGTGTCTTTATCCCATCGTGGGTGGTCATTCCTGAAGCAAAAGATTCTGATGGAAAACCGATTAATCCTACAGTGGTATATTAAATTTGCTGTGAAGCTGCTCATTTACTTGAGCGCAGCTTTCTGTTTTGAACTTTTGCATGTATATACATACGGCTCAAAAGAGTATTTGGTTGCTGCGCGTTCTGAATTCAGATGTGTGAATTGAGACATGGACGAAATTCCTCTGCCTATGCTTGCGATGATTTCAGCTCGCAATTCGTGTGTGTGACAGTTCTTCAAAGTACAAGTTGGTATTCAGTCTCCAGATGGCATCAGCACATTGCGGCAAACCCTGAGAAGATTCAGCGATTTTCTAAAGCTGCATGCTGCGGTAGGTGTATTTGGTGGTTTTCTTATTGGGGAGTTTGCATTCAATCAACATGTATCTTTGTAATGTTGTTAGTCCCGTCATGAGCTCAGTTGCGTCAGGTGTTGATAGTATTCTGATTGTGGAAAAGTCTTGCAGCTGAAGAAATTGTTTTCAAAAAAGAAGTTGCCAGCACCTCCCCCTAAGAATTCATTGATGCGGATCAATTCGAAGCAGCCTCTTCTTCAAGAGGTAAGGATGAAATATCTGTTCTATGAAGTTGCATTTACACTAGAGTTCGTTACTGCCTGTCCGAAGGTGATGAGGGATATATGTGGAAGTGTTTCACTTCAGTTCCTAGCACATTCTTTTGATCTCGTTCATATGTAGTAGATTATCCCATATGAACACATCAGATTTAATACGAGATTCTGTAATTGCTCCTGCAGAGAAGACATGCTTTAGAGGAATGGATGGGAAGTCTGCTTGCTGATATTGATATCTCCCGTAGTGTACCACTAGCCTCGTTCCTGGAGCTTGAGGTTGCTGTCCGAGCTGGTATGTTTCGTCGCACTGAAATTATGTTCATCATCACATATATGATTGTGGACAGGATTTTCACTTCAAATCTTCTCCAGCTTCAGTACTTATTCCCTCATGGTGATGGTGAATTTTAGTTTTTCTTTTTCTTTTTTGCAGCTGCTACATCGATCTCAGAAAGGCAATCGCAGCTGAATGTGACAAACAATCTACCATTGCAAACCACTCGTAGTCTTCGCTCTCGAGCATCGTGGACCGGAGGTGGTTCCTCTGTAGTATCTGGCGGATACTCTACGTTGGATTATGGGAGTGATGTGGCGTACGAGAACTCCGTTGTTGGCACTCCAAGCAAAGGGAGTGAAGGTGGATTGGAGATAGAAATGGAAGCTCTGTCTCTTGAAGAGCAGGCTGCCATAATTGCTACCTCAGGAGATAGCAGAGTGAACCAGCAGCAAGAGAGAAACACCTCAGTGGGGTTGGCTAGGTCTTACAGCGAAGAAGTTGGTGCGATGATACAGTCTCGAGGCGAGTTCAAGGATAACGTTGTAACAGATGAGGTGTGTTCATTGACGTAATGGTGCTGATCTTTTGAGCTGCATATCTTTCTCTGCACTCTGTACTTTCATATATATTTATTCTAAACAACAATCATTAATTTTTTTAATCGTGGTTTCATTTCGTACAGCTCTTAACAAGAAACGAAATATGTAGAGGTGAGGGTGAATTGGCGGGGGCAAGCTTGGATGGAACAAGTCTGAAATCTCCATTGGGTTTAGGGCCTCGGCACAGGCGCAGGACATCTCAGGAAAGTTTATTCAGTGAGATTAGCTCTGCGCCAGAAAGCGAGCTGTATAGAGGTGTTTCGATGGATGTGCCTTCTGACCATCCCTTATGGAGTTTTTCAGCTGTCGATTCCAGTGGTGACCCCAATTTGACAGATGTAGAGTCTTTAAAAGGAGTAGGGTTGGTTTTTCCAGCTGACCAGCGGAGCAAGGTCAAACGAGTGATGGGCACATTGCAGAGACGAATTGTAGCTGTGAAAACTGATATGGAGGATCTGCTGGCTCGCCTGAATCAAGAAACTGCTGTTAAAGAATTCCTTACAACTAAGGTATTATCATGGATCTTCTTACTATCTGACACAATGCCCGGGACTGTTGACAATTATTGCTTCTCCTAACACAACGTCATCATGGCTGCTTTTGTGGGATCTGCGTTAAGAGGACTAGAGACTTTTTGGCTTGTTCTGGCAGGTTAGAGATTTGGAAGGTGAGCTGGATGGAATGCGACGAAAGAGTCGAGAGGTGTTGCAGCAAGCTGTCTGGGCGGAACGAGAACGCATGACTTCCCTTCAATGGGAGCTGGATGATTGTCGTGTGGCACTTCAGTCATCTGAGGAGACTGTGCAGTCTTTACAGGTACTTAGACTAATTGCTGTGACTCATCGCTTTCAAATATTAGCATATCATGTGACATGTATTGAGCTCTTTATTAATCCTCAAATCGCGTGGTAGTCATGTGGACACAGTAAATAGACGCTAGCTTTTGCATCCTCGTGGGATTAAAACCTACTTGAGCATCTCCTTACCTTTGAAATTTAGTAAATTGCTCTCGGCGTTCGTCTTAGATATGTCTCAATTTAGATGACCAGTTATTGTTGTGGTTTACCTTGGCAAGGGTGCTGCACTGAAGCACTCTAATGCAGGGGTTGTTGTAGGGAGATTTCTTTGGACGTATTTTGTTTGTTAAGGATTCTGAATTATGCAGGCTTCAAAGGCGCACTTAGAGGAGCGCCTTGAAGAAGCTCTTGCCAAGTGTGAGATGACGAGGAAGGAGTTGGTGGATGTTCGTCAGCTTTTTCATTCACGGCAACAAGAGGAAGATACTGTGGATGCTCAGGCACGTGCAGAGAAAAAGGTGTGGAAATTTTACCTTTTCCTTAGAGTTGATGCGTTCTTAAGAAAAAGAAGTGCATACTATTCCCGTGTTATCCAATTCTATACATTGACTACTTAGTCATATTTTACGCACAGGTGTTGACCAAAGAAGTAAAAAATCTACGAGCTTCACACATGGAAATCAAGCAGGAGGCTAAGCAAGCAATGCAGACCAAGGCCATCCTGGAGGTGAGTTGGTTGTAATTCCGTCAACTGTCAATGTAATTGGTATTTTCAACCTTAGTGAGACGTTATAGAAGTATGTTTGGAATTGGGGGAGAGGTTCTCAATCATTCACTGCTAGCACGTGGGTCATCCTTTTGGTACACTTTCAGGCAAGCCTAAGCGAAGAGAAACAAAAGCAAGAGAAGGCACAGATAACACGAGCAAAGTTTGTACATGAAATCGCAGTGCTTCGGGCTCGTCTACAGGAATGCAACATGGATGAGCTGCGTAAAAGAGGTGGTTCTTTGGGACGGACAGAAGCTTCAGATATGCTGTCTACTTTGGAGAGCCGCATTTCACTTCTGATTGGACAGGTGTTATTTTCTACCGACATGTTGTTGAAAATGGTTGAGTAGAATTTCGGTTTGTCGTTAATTCAACAGTTAACGAGCTCAGGCTAATGAACTTCATTCTATTCCTTCAGAGTCAGTGTTTTGTAAGTGGTCCTTTTGGAGTTTATCTAGCTATATGCACGTTTACGGATTACTTCCTCTTTGTACAAGTTTTTGATGTGAAACCATGATGCATTACAGGCACAGTTGCTGGTAGAAGAGGATGAAGAGCTCTGCAAGCTCAGCTCATCAACGAATCGGTCACTACTCCAACAGTATAAACAGAGTATTGGTGATTCTGAGGGAACCGTCCAGACAGACCAAGGAAGTGATGCAATACTGCGCAAAATGTTGATCGATACGTTTATTGAAGAGGCACAACTTTGCAAGTCTATTAACTCTTTGACTTGCAATGCTATCACATCTAGAGGATCTAGGAAATTAGACCTAATGTAGGGTTAGAGCACACATTTTTAATCCACTACATGAAGTTTTAAAAGAGCATATTATATAGATTTGTCATCCTTGATTAGCTCTTTCTCCACCATACTGTGATAACGGAGACCTCATTTTCTTGCTAGTGCTATAATCAGGCACAGCCAACAATAGGAGACTTTTTGAGCTAACCCTTACGGTATTGAATGTTGTATGATCAGAATGTTCTCTGACCAGGGGAGCCTCTCTGAATGCTATTTAGTCCTGCTCACTTTTGATGCGAGGAGCTCAAGGACATTTGCTTCCTGTTCCTGCCTTAGCTTATTCTTTTGTCTGAGTGCAAGAATAATTCCATGTTTCTTGGGACTTGATGTGGGAGTAAAGGAAACAAATGGCATTCAAGTGGCTGCACTTTTGTCCTCAACATTGGGTATTTTCTGATAGCAACTTGCTTATGTGACATTTGTCAGCAGGCATTGAAGTCTGCAGAGAAAAACTCTGGTACTTGGGCCACTTAAACCAAAGCACGAAGTTATCCTCTATTCCAAAACCTCAGCTTTCACTAAAAGCTTCTTAATAGAAATTAGAGTCCGCCTCTTCGTGACATGACATTTGATGTTTTAACGATGTGTGCACGTTGGTGTTTAGTGATGATTTTGGGGAAACTCATGAAGTCATGGATGCTGGAATTAAGGGACTTTCCCAACTTCACAGTCAATTTCATCATCCATTTAATTGCCTTAGTGATAAATTTTATAATAATAAAATGCTGATTTTGCTCATGACATCATTTTTATTTCTTAAAAAAAAACTAAATATTTTTCTTGTAAAAAATAAAATGTACACACTTTTATTTTGATTTTCTTTAAAAAGTAATTAAGAATATAAATTTTTTGAAGATGTTTATGGATTATGTTTGTCAATTAATAATTATAATGTAGCTCAACATTCCATGCATGTTATCATAATCTAATGGACCTTGAGCCATAGCAAAGTTGTCATTTGTTTAGTAGCCTAACAAGCTTGTCACATGGATTATTTTAAGCTAAATGTGGTAATTATATTTTTCCCATTTATTAGCTATCAAGTTAGAAGGTAGAATTTTATTGCAAAGGCAGTGCAAAAAGATTCAATGACATAGTTTATTAAAAATTGTTTTAAAAAAGACAATGATATACTCTAAGAAGATCTTGTGCATGAGTGCATTAGTAATTTGTAATGGCCTATAAAGAACTTGAAAAACTTTTGCAAAAGTTTTTAAGAGATGTAAGACTTTATTGCAAAAACTTTAAAGATAAATTCAAGATAATTTAAATAAAACTCTAAATATTACTTATTAGTTTCAAAATATATATATATATATATATATATATATATCTATTTTGGAAACAATCAATACATGAATAAGTAAATAAGTAAAATGAAGCATTAAAATTGTTGGAGTTGTGATGAAGCAATGTCATCATTTTACTTTGGATGTTTGTAAATTTTTCACATTTAGACTTGTTGAACTAGTCAAATTTTGAGTGACGTTTTTTTGAGGACAAATAAAGATTGATTTTAATACGTACGAAATATATATATGCCTGACATGTGTAAGTTGATATTAAGTGATATCTTATAAGATTTTATAACAGCTAGGCAATGGTTGCAATGTATGATAAAGATCATTTAAAAACAATGATTTAAAAAGACATCAATTTAAAAGTGGCATTATTGGTTATAATTTTTTTGTATTGATTTGGATTAGAAATTTAAGTTTAAGATTAATACTTTTAAAAATAAAGAATGTAATAATATGTATTTTATAAAGTTATAATTAACAAACAAATATATGATTATTATATTAATAAATATTTAAATTAATACATAATTAATAAATAATTATTATTAAAAACTAAGGAATTCACTAAAATTTAAATATTTAATAAAAAGAAGCATTTTTGATGTTATAAAATTTTATATCTACATAATAAAATTAGGAGAATGATGAAGCAATCCAAATTTTTACTAAAGCAACCTACTCTATCTTAAGCATCATTGCATCCTTAGGGCCCTCATCCCTATTCCTAGCTATTCCCCATTTCTAACCATTGTTAAGAATGGAGAGGGGGGCTAGGAACGTTAAGAACAAGGGTGACGGTTGGAAATAGGGAAACGACTAGGAACATGGGAATGGCTAGGAACATGGCATGTAGGTCAATTTAGTAAAAAAATTAGGTCGCTTTATCATTTTCCTAAAATTATGGTGTATTATATATTAACTTATATTTACAATAACTAACAAGTTAATAATACAATTAATAGGAGAAAAATATTCAGACATTAGGTTTTTTAATTTTAATTTTTTCCAATAAGCATTCAAAGATTTTTGAGGTGCAAAAATACCAAAAAGAGGGAAAGTTATTCATATAAATGATAACAACATGAAAACATAAAATTAAGGCTAATTTACATAATATTTTTTGATTTTTTTTAAAATTAAGTTACTAATAATATATTGATATGTTTTGAAATTTAGCAATGTAATTTTTTAAAATTTAATTTATATATATTTACAAGGAAGAACAAATAATAAGACGAGTCTTTATTATGTCAAGGCAATTTGTTTCCGTCCGTCCGTCTATCCCCACGCTCGTTCGTCCGCTCGTTCGTCCATCCATCCGTCTGTCTGTCCGTGGGGTGGACGGAGCCCAGCACCGTCCCTTAAAGATGCCGCTGCGCTGTCTTGGTTCCTTGTTTGGCGTCAGCCCTGAGTGCTTCCGCCACGACAGGTTCTACGCAGAATTGTCTCACAAGTGCCGCGCACCACGACCGTTCCATTCAGAAATGCACTCCCAGGGAATTCAGGAAGGCTGTGACATGAAGCCCCAGAGTGCGCCATTCAAATTTCGTCTCAGTTTTCACACTTTGTGTTGTCAAGCAGCCGTCGCAGAGCGGCCGTGGCTATGGCGGCTCTGCTCCTTCTTCCGGCCTCTGCGAGCACCTCCCTGTGCTCGAGTCGGAGTTGCACGTCCGGTGTTGACGTGCCGGAGAGGGTCGTTGTGAGCGCACGGAGCGGTAGGAGAAACGAGGCTTGTTTCGCAGTGTCGACAGTGCGGTGCGAGTATGGGCGGAGGAGCGGAGATGCGACCAGTTTTACCAGAAGAGTGCTCACGTTTTGTACCTATGGGGACGATAAGGGTCGTCCTGGAAGTAGCCATGTTGGAATGTTTGAAGGAAGTGGTGACGTAATTGGAGCTGGGTTGGATAGAGGGAACGGTAGTGGTAATGGGAAGCCTGGGGGCGGTGACGGTGGTGGCGGTGGAGGAGGGGACGGTGATTCAGAGGAGGAGCGAGAGTTTGGGGTTATGCTGAACTGGGAGCAAGTGGTGAAGGAGTTGGAAGCGAAGGGGATCACCTTGCCTGCGGACATGGTTGAGGCCGCTCAGACCACTGGTATTCGGAAGCTGCTTCTTGAACGGTACATTGCTCTGCAGGGAGGCAGTTGGGGATCGCTTGTGAGTAGTAACGCGATGCTGCGGAACCGGCTCTTGGCTGACCCTAGTTTTGTGTTCAAAGTGTTCACTGAGATCGCCATCGATTCTGGATGTGCTACGTTTGCTGAGGTTCAGAAAAGAGGAAAAGATTTCTGGAATGAATTCGAGCTTTACCTTTCAGATCTTGGAGTGGGCATTGTATTGGACATTGCGCTTGTTGGGATGTTAGCACCATATGTAAGTTTCGGAAGGAGCGCAACTGGAGTGGGCTCTAGAGCACGCCTTTCTCGTGCCATTCAAGCCTTGCCGAGTAGCATTTTTGAAGCTGCACGACCCGGCAGATCGTTCAGTGTACAGCAAAGAGTTGCCGCATTCGTTTACAAGGCCGTGCAGTACGGAGTCACAGGGTTTGGTTGTGGAGTTGTAGGCCAGGGCATCGCAAGCTCGATCATGACCCTCAAGAGGAAGTACAGAAAGCCAAACCACGACGAGGAGGTTGCTGTGCCTCCAATATTCAAGAGCGCTGCATTGTGGGGTGTTTTTATGGCTCTATCATCGAATACGAGATACCAAATTATCAACGGTCTGGAACGTGTGGTTGAAGGGTCTGCAGTTTCAAGACGAGTACCGCCCGTCGCCCTTGCTTTCACAGTTGGAATTCGATTCGCAAACAACATTTACGGTGGCATGCAGTTCGTCGATTGGGCTCGCATGGTTGGTGTTCAGTAAGCGTCCTGCGCTCACGCTAATTTCCTTACACCTGCCAAGCAATTCCTGAACTCAATTTTTACGAATTTCACGGCCTTCCTGTGGAGCACAATGAGGGCCCATTTCAAAACGAGTGCGCCTGATATGAACAGCCTCAGCAGTGGTACTGGGTATGTGTAGAGCATTTCAGGACCATGACTAAGGAGAATTTCGGTTGTGGCTTCAGCTTTCAGAAAGCGTAACGCACGTTCCTTTGTGAGGCAAAGGTTTAGGGTTTAGGATCAGGTCGTATAGGCTGGCTCCAGTTTCTGATTTTGGAGCGCCTGTCTCTTCTTTGGCGTCTTTCTGGATAGTATGATTGGATGCTCTCCAGTGTATTAGTCGCAAGCTTAGACTGGAGAACTTTCTCTTTGTGCACCGCTGTTGGTCGAATTCAGGTGGATGACCTGTGCAGGAATTGTTCTATCCAACGTTGCAGTACAATATGGATAGTGACTATGGTTTCACATTAGAATATGAATATGAGGAGTTTGTAATCCATTAATTCTAGAGGAATTGAAGCTCCAAGACTATCTTAGGTAACAAAGACTGACTCTAAAGGTTGTATGCGGCGTTACCTGAATATGAATCGGCTGAGGGGTCCAATCCGAAGTAAAATTCCTGCTTTGTCTTCACACACAACCTATTCATGTATTTAAACATTAGCCCTAGTTGTGTGGAGCTGTATATCTATGTGACTAATATGTGGGGTGGGCCTTTAACTTGATTGTTGGAAAGAAAAGATCTGTTTGGGGTTATTCTGGATATATTCACGAAATAGGATAATTGAAGATGTATGATATATTTTATGTATCGAAGAGTACCACAGTAAATAATTATCAGGAAGGGCTTCTTTTTCTCATCATAGTTCATAAAAAGCTCTGGTGAATGGACAGCATGTAAGAACCAATTAAAATAATCGTAATTCATTGTTCATTCTTCATCATAATATACTCATGCCTTGAATTGAAAATTATCTATTATTAGGGTATTATGAAATAGCATGTGAATATATCTTTCACGAAATTGTTTACTGATAGAGGTTAGGTCTTTATCCAGAAAAAACATATTACTACCCATTATAATTTTAACCATTTCGAAGCATACCTCGTTGAAACATTCGTAGTGGTAAAGCATTTTAAAACCTGAAGATTTAGAACTTTTTAGTTCCAACCCATGGGGACATTAGGCAGTTTTAACAGTTAATGCCAATACGTGATTGTAATAACATAGCATGAGATATGTACTGAGTATTTTAGTCCAGATCACTCTGGAATCCAATATTACATCCCTGCACTTTTACAGGTTGAGGTTGACCATTGAATTAGTTTGATTGGTTCGAAGAAGCGGTGGATTAATGTGAGGTGAACCTTTGGGCACCAGTTTATTTTATTTTATTTTATTGATGCTGCTCTTATTATTCCAGTTAGAATGTGGTTTAAGCACGCTATCATCATGTAACAAGGTAGCTATAGAATTTCATCCTACCATACCCTTTCATCACTGATGTAATCACGTCTGTTTTGGTGCAGAGCCTGATTGTTTCCTCTGAAGGCACAGCTCTCCATGTTTGTTTATTGCATTACACTATCGTTTTTCTAATTACTGATTCTTTATGTGAATGATTGTATGGTTTAGGGTTTAGGTCCAGTTCCCACTTTTGTCTAAGGTCTTGTGCATACCTACACATGTCTAAGGGCTTGTGCATACCTACACATGTCTAAGGGCTTGTGCATACCTACACATGTCTAAGGTCTTGTGCATACCTACACATGTCTAAGGTCTTGTGCATACCTACACATGTCTAAGGTCTAAGGTCTTGTCAGAGCTCATCCTACACAAGAACGTAGGATAAGAATCTTTGTTTCATTTGGTTACCCTCAAAACCTCTTATTCATTCAAATTATGTTTAAATCATAATGTAACAATTGCATATAGTATGGATACAACCAACATCTGTACCATGTTTTCTCTGTGCACAAGCTTCTGTTGAATATATGGAAAGACTTGTAAAGAGTTTGACTACATTGTTGTATTGTAACCTTGATTTTCAATGAAAAGACTTGTAAAGAGTTTGACTATATTGTTGTATTGTAACCTTGATTTTCAATGAGATTGCTACCAATTCCTTGCACTATAGATGTGATGCTCTTGAAAACCAGGAGGCTTTTGGTTGTGGAGGATCCTTGTTGATTTTAGAATGAATGATTCTATGAAGCTGATCAAATGCTATCAAAGCTTGTATGAATTAACTTTTGTATGTACAAAGATCAATTCATGAATCCAATCATTCCTCAAATTTCCAAAATTGCAATTAAAATTTAATTTTTATGAATTATCATGCCTCAAAGCTCAAGCTTTTAGTTATGATCCAAACCTTTAAATTATTTTGTTATTGTGCACGAAGTCACTAATTTTTCAAAAATTGAGAGTGGTATGATAAAGTAGCCTTCTAAATTCAGTACATAAAACTTTTGCAAGGTGAATTTATTGATTATTTTTCCATATAAGTGTGTTTATAAAATATTAAAAAATAAGAAAATAAGCACATATTCATAATTTTTTACATAACTAACTTTACAATTTTTTTCATATGATAATGTAGTTTTAAAAGTAGGTTATTTATTTATTTATTTATTTTTTATTGATTCATTGTTTTAGGTAATAAGATTAAATCACCTTAATATTTAGCAACCAATTTTGGATTTCAAATATTTAATATTATTATTATTCACTAAGTCTTTGAATTGCGTATGATAATTTTTGTATATTGTAATTAGGATTAATAATAGACACAAAATACATGTGTTTTGCAAGACCAATTAATTAAAGAATTGCACAAAGCTACAACAAGCAAATTTTAAGAAGGCTAAGTATAGGAAAATAATTTATAGAATTAGTTTTAGCACTATTCTAAATCCAAGTAGAAGATCATAATTGCTTTGTAAAAAATGCATGCTAATTATGTGCTTCCATGATTAGTTTTTTTTTTTTAATAATTTTTTAATATGTTTCTAAATATAATTACAATAAAAGCCATAGAATACTTGTTTGTAAAAATGATACAAAAGTATTTTTCAATACTTAAAAAAATCTTAGTAATATATGAAAAAAATAAATTATGCAAAAAATTATTTTGTATGTGGTTTTATAGAGGTAGGTACATAATTCTAAAGCCAAATCAAAGAGCCTCCTTGGTATGGCAAGTATATGCCATAGATATATATCTATTGTAATTATTACTTAAGTAATATGAATAGATAGAAATAGGTAAAAATAGATTAATTTCATAATATCTTCTAGAAAAGCTTCCTAAAAGCTTCTTAGACACTGTTTTGACTTCACACCTATTTGTAGTTGATTAGTAGGTTAGAAACTTGGTCAACAAGATAACCATGTACCACATGTATTGATAGCTAGCAAAATAATTTAACTATGTGATGTCCATATAAAAAACTTATCTTGTAAGTTAAGATACATGTCATGCAAAGTCAACATGTTTTTGGAGGTCCTATAGAACATTGGTACATAGATTCTAGATAAATAGTATATATAAAGGCAAGAGTGAAGCCTTCTTCACTCTTGTCAATCCCTTTCTTTCTTCTAATTTAGTTTCAAGTGTCTTTAGTTTCTTTGTTTTTGGCAATAGCCATTCCAATTTCTTTTTCAATACACATACTTTTCTATTTCTATTTTGTCATATTTTTTTGAGAGAGTCTTTCTTATTTATTTGCTTTCATCAAGTTCTTGTCTTTTACAGATTGACAAGAGTATATTTACAATATTAGAGCTTTGACTTTTTTTAATTAAGAATAGATTCTCTCTTTTTCTTGATAAGACTTAAGTATATTGGAATTGCAAATTAACTTCTTTTAAACTGATATTGTCTTTAATATTTTTTCTTTATTTTTTAATCTTGTATTTTATTTTTTATGAGCAATATTAGATATCTTTTCTTCTTTAAATATTATCATGGTGGAGCTTCTTGAAATAAAGAATGCAATGGCATAAATATAAGAGCAATTAAAGAAGTTAATGCTTACAATACATCAGTTCAATTTATTACCACATAGAGCAATAAAAATAGCAAGGAGCAAAGATATAGAGATGATTGAAGTTGCTTCAACATCCACATCAAATCATGTCTTTTTTCCTATGATAGAACATCCTTTTAGTGTTAAGAATGAAGGATTATAGTACATGAGAAGTTTAATAGTATAAAATCCAAATTTTTAGGATTTATCAATCAAATACAACTTATGTTTAAATTTCAACTCCAAAACTATCTAATTCCAAGATTACAAGTTTGATTCATTGATACACTCTTTTCAAGTTTATCATTATTATAATTTTTATCTTATTTCAAATAATAAGATCCAATATTGAATAATCTAGAGGTTTTTTTGGCAAAGTTTTGATCCATGTATGAAAAACATGATGCAATTTATGTTGCAACCAAGAAGATCCATATTTTGCAACAAGACAATCATTTGATAACATTATATGCTTCACAATTTTGACAGCTTATAATTGATATCAAGTGGGATGATGTTGTTGTTAGCCAATTTTTCTAAAAATTATAATATGAGATAAAAAATTGATGCTCAATTAATCTGATCTTCAAAAATTAAGTTAAGCAATTGACTTTGTTTTGAGATGTGACAAGTAATTTTTTAAATTTTAATTTAAAAGTCGTATAAGTGTACCTCAACATTATTATAATTCAATGATAATGCCAACATCTTTTCATCACATACATTTGGAAGTAGAAGATATGCAAATTGATGTGATATGTTTCAAATTTCTTACTTAATAAAAAAAGAGTCATTGTCGTGAAAAAAGATTATCCTTGTACTGTAGAGAATCTGAGAACACCACTCAATATTATTCAAAGAAGCGATGCAACTACAAAATAAAGAATACGATTATCAAAGAAGATAGTATATGAAAAAATATTTTTTTCTAGCTACAATAGGGACGGTGTGGCTGAAACCTTCTACAATACCTATTGAAGGTCCTGTTCTTTCCTCAAAATCCTCTCCTTGTTTTACAATAAATATTATTTTAGGACCTAAACATTACAAAGCCTCTACATTATTAGATTTAAGAGCTTCAATGTATTTTTTAGATAAAAAATTTGCTAAAAGACATAGCATATCTTTAATGAAGAAAATTAAATTTTTTTACATAAAACTCATAAATTTTTGTCTATTATCTTCAAAAAATATTGTTTATAAAATCCTTCTTATAGAAGTAACAACTATTAATCATAACTTTTTAATATTTAATATCATTATATTTCTTTCTAATTCAATTATTTTAAATTTATCATAGCTAAAAAAATATAATCCAAAAATAGATTAATTTTTTTATAATCTTAATATTTTTAAAAATATAATTAAGAATATAATTGATCAAATAGAAATTCATAAATCTAGTGCAATTAAACTTGTATTTGTAGGTACAAGAGCTTTCTTGCATGTTGCAAAAGAAAGATTATCTTATGTCATTTATGCTCCATCTATTTCTATTAGTGAAAAGACTTTAAGTGGCATTCCAAATCAATATCAAGATTTTTAAGATATATTTGAGAAGAAGAATGTAGATATTCTACCAAAATATCATCCCTATGACT